AAATCAGAAATTTAAAAAAGAATTCCTTTACTGGTCATTTTGAAATGTCAAACTTTGTCTGCAATTGTTAACCACCTCAATCTGTATTATATTTTAGGGTTTTAAAAAAATTCCCTCATGTCCAAATTCAACATGAAGGGGGGTGGTCCGCTGCAGAAAGAGGAATTTGTAAAGACTGCACTGTTCTCGGTCATTAGAGGTATGTGTATAAAACACACAACATTTACCAGAGAGCTTCTCTTTTTTTAACACACTGAATGGTGATACACTATATATCTCGTTTTTGTTTTTAGTTGGCATCCAAGTAAAAGAGAATGACTCCCTGTCACAATTAGTGTAATTAAAGTAAAAAAAATATGTTAAGCTTTTCTTGTGCTTTTTTTTTTCTTCTTATTTGGCAGATGCTGTGATGACTAACTTCCCGGCTGCAACAGAGTTGGACTTGAGGAATGCAGTTGGTAAGCATTTTAAACAAGAAATAAAACCAATAATTAATAATTTCCTTTAAGTTCACTGTTGGTTGTTTTATTTGTTAACATGTTAAGTATGATAACATGCTGTTGATTTGTATTAGATTCTTTTTTCTTTTAAATATCTTAAGTTATTTAAAATATTTTATTTTTTAATTTTTATATTTATATTATCTTAAGTTGTTAAAAACTCCAGATTTTTTTTATCATAATATTTATATTTAAGTGTATTGTATTTATAAAATTTTATTTTGTCATTAATTCTTTTGTATTTTTATAATTTTGTATTGTCTTAAGTTGTCAAAGTTGTTAAAAATGTTATTTTTCTTAATAAAAGCTGTATATTTAATTTGTTTGGATGGATTGCCATTTTGTTGTCTAACAGATGTATATATGTAGGCATTCATTAGCTGTCAATTTGATGACTAGTCTATTTGATGACTAGTCTATTCTTGGGCTATGGTTAGACGTCTATTAAATTTTCACTGACAGCCCAAATTCAGCCTTGTTTTAGCCTAGACCCATATTCACTGTCTACTAGACGTATATATGTAGTCGTTTAATAGCAGTCTAATTGATGACTAGTCTATTCTTGGGCTATGGTTAGACGTCTATACAATTTTCACTGACAGCCCAAATTCACCCCTGACCAAAGTGGTTTGGTAACATTCTACAAAATATATTCTTTTGTGTTCAACAGAAGAACGTAAGTCATACAAGATTTGGAATGACATGAGGGTGAGGAAATGATGACAGAATTTATTAGCAGTAAATTTTCCGCATTCTAGCTCAAAATCAATGCTTTACTGTCAAGTGCATTTCTATGTGACAAAAAATGCATTTTTAAGTTTGTTGCATTTGCCGTGAATTCAGTAACATCTATCATTATTTTTTTCTGTCCTGTTTTATTTATTCATTTATTTACTCCAATTTAAGGCTCTATAGCCTAGCAAACCATTCATGGGGGAAACTCGTGGACCGGATGGGCTGAATTTGTCCAGGGACGAATTTTAACCCCAGTCGGCCCTGCTTATTAGCATGCATATTACTAGCATACTGGCTGTTTATTAGTACTTATAAAGCACATACACTGTAAAAAATTATTCCTGCCCTCAGCAAATATGGCTCATTAAAATAAACACATTTTACTTAAAAAAAAAAAAAATCAGTTTTGCACATTACTTAATTTAAAGCTACAAATGTTAGATAACATATTGAGTTTATGGTTTACTTTAATTAATAACGAAACACAACAAGTAATTTTGAGTAAAGTTAACAATAATAATAAAAAAAAAAAGTCAAATTAACAACCTTTTTTAGGACCCAAGCAGATGTCTTCCCTAAGCAAATATGGCTCATTAAAATAAACAGATTTTACTTTAAAAATTCAGTTTTGCACATGACTTAATTTAAAGCTACAAATGTTACATAACATAATGAGTTTATGGTTTACTTTAATTAATAAAAACAACAAGTAATTTTGAGTAAAGTCAACAATAATAATAATAAAAAAAAGTCAAATTAACACAATTTTTTAGGACCCAAGCAGATACCACATGACAAACTGGATTAACTTTGAAACGCGCAATTTGTTGTGGCCATTTTAGAAAACCAGATCTCAGAAGAGGACTTCTCATCCACGGTGTAAGTATCTGTTAAGTAGAACTTTTCTTTATCATATATCCTGAATATACAAGTTTCTGAATTTTTTTTTATTTGGCACTTTACTAGATATCGAATGAGCACTTTTAAACATGTGCGTGTACTCCGGAGTCTTTTGTGAGACCAAAATACACATTGTACAGTTACTTTTATGAGATGAATGGTAAATAATGGTGAGTGGCAGATTGTTTGGTCTGTGCAAAAAAAGGATGGTCAACAGTAGTTATATTTCGCCGTCTGACACACCCCAAACACATGGTGCGATATTAGATCGTGAACAAATACAATTTCTCCACAGTTTGTCTTTGATCATAAATTGTACCAGTGGCAGTTCTGGTGCATCCGTTACAACATACTGCATGACACGACATACATACACATCATATGTTAGCATTGTAGCGGTAGTTCTGGGCGTATACATCGGTAGTCAAGCGTTTTATAGCCATTCCAGTTTTAACCTTCAAATGATTTTTCTCGCATGCTGTCCTGACAGTGTTTCTGCGCACGCTCACACGCACAAAGTCTGTCACACAGCGCGAATGCTGAACTAAGATCTTCGCGGCTAATCGCTCTTAAACTGTCGAATACACACAAGGACAGGTTTACATAAACAGTCGTTTACGTCCTAAGTGAATGTAAACAGAAAACTGAATGTCTGTAAGTATATTAAAGCCGTGTATTGTCATTAATGTTAATCAACACAAAACAGAAAAAAATCACTCACTGCTCTTGACTGATTAACTTTATCTTTGATAAGAATTCGTGTATACTGATGTATACTACAGTAAAGTCTACTGATGTTTACTGAAAATTCTGCTTACTTATTTTAACATTTAAATCTTAGATGTTCACTGTCATTACTGTGTCATGCATTTTATTTAATTTTTAATATTAACATGAATTTCTATTTCTGTTTGTACTCAGGATCACAGCTTGATTGTCTTCCTATCAGAGAACACTGACAATCTGATTCCCTTTCATGGGAACTTCGAACTGCATCCTCTAGGGGTCGCTATGGGGAACGCCTCGTCGTGACCCGTGTCTGACACATTACCAGGTGAGTGAATATGGTAAATTTTGTGTTGTTCGCTTTGAAATTACTTTTATATTAAGTGGGAAGTGCAAATTTGAAAATATAATGACTAATCTTAAATAAAATTAAAAGTTTTTTTTGTTTGTTTGTTTGGTTGAATGATTTAGATTAATGACTGCTTGGACGTCTCCATCAGTGAGCTTTATACATGTTTTAAAGTTGAGCCTGACATATTTTGTTGTCTTTTTGCGTTTTTACCTCCTTAATGAACAAACAACCAAGAAAGCACAATATGCATTTTTTTATTTATTTTATGCATTTTATTGTTTTATTGTTTTGTGTTATAGGACACTGATCGGGAAATAGCCCAAGAAGAAAATCCTGCTTGACTTGATTGCAACACTTCTAACCCCTGATTTACACTGCACACGTCTGCAACGCATCCACCGGAGCTGATCACGGCCACTCTAGTCAATGCTTGTGTTACACAAGCTGTGCCACGGCACGTTTCAGAAGCGGCTTTCTGTGCCACTTCGCTAAAGATAGGTGCCTAGTCTATTTTTGACGGATGCTGCATCCAAGCCGCACAGAAAATGCAAAATAAAAGTCACAAAATCCTGTTAATTTCAAAATAAACACCCTGTGCAGACTCCCGATCGTATTTCATATCACTATCCTTGCTAGGAGACCAGAAATGGATGACAAGAGTTTCATCCTCGAAGTTGAAAAACACACATTGTTATATGACACCACAAATCCTTTTTACAAGGACAATTCCAAAAAGGACAAGGCGTGGAGTTTAATTGCAGGAGTTGTAAGAGTGGAATAAACAGAATTAAACCGGACAAAACAAACATTTAACCAACCATATTAGAACACGCACAAAAAACCCCCCAAAAAAACCACAAAAAAAACGGACAGGCAAATCACGTGGTCTCGTGAATCCTGTATCTTTGCTTCTGAAATGCTCCAGGCATGAGTTGGCACCACGTGGAGGATGGAACAAAACCTTGTCTGAGCCGTAACGCGCCGCTGACGTGTGCAGTGTAAATAAGGGGTAACTTTGAATAACAAGATGTTTATTTTTTTTTTAATACTTGTTAAGTGTCTTGTTAATACTGCAAATGCATTTTAATGCCACAGAACATTGCACAACTCACACATGCAAGTCAACAAGCAACCAACACCACACATTACATACTCAGCACTTCACTGCACTCAAACACACAAGCATACAACACCACAAACATAATGTAAACAACATACTCAACTCTATACCACACACACAAACATAAAACACCACAAATATATATAAAAAAAAGAATGTTGATGTTATTTGTTACAGATTGTTTACGGTTGTTCTGTAATCTGTATTTTTAGTCATTTTCAAATCAAAATCCGGTGTAGATGTGGTAGAACACAGCATGCACCTTAACAACACACACACACACACACACTAGTTTCCATGTTTTAATGGGACTTCCTTTAGGCATAATGGTTTTTATACTGTACAAATTGTATATTCTGTCCCCTAACCTATTGTCTATAATATTAATATACTATATATAATATAATAAACCTATAATATTGTCACAGAAAACTTTCAGCATTTTTACATATAAAAAAAAAAAACTTAATTTCAGTATGATTTATAAGCTGTTTTCCTCATGGGGACCAAAAAAAAAATTTCCCCACAAGGTCAAAAATTACTAGTATTACTATCCTTGTTGGGACATTTGGTCCTCATGATGTAGGGAATACCAGGTGCACACACTGTGCACAATTTCAAACATACTAACATTCAACTAAATTTGAGAACAAGTCAGACATGTTTCTACATCTGTAAATTGTTGAACAGCAGAAAATGTTTTAAGAGATGTTTAAGTTGCATTTGTAAAAAGCAAAAAAGAAGAAGAAAATAAAGAAGTCATTTAATATTCACCATGTTGTCTGTTGTGTCTTCCACTCATTGTAATGTGTAACTAATTTTAATTGAGCAGTACCTAGGTATTTTAAAATACAAAAACTTAAAATTATCAATCTAAATTAGCTTAAAATTTATAATGGGGTGAACAAGACTTTTACTGTAGAAATAACTTACATTTATTAGTATAAACTACTTAAAATATTGTGTTACACAGCTAATAAATTTGAGCAAATCCTGGGATACTCAAACATTTAAGCATTGCCAACTAAAGATATGTAGGTAACACTGCTTACAATTTCATGAGAAATTTACTTAAGAAGA